CAACATGGTAAAGAATGAGGATCTCTGAGAGAGCTCTTAGGAAGCAGGCATTCGAAAGACACACCTTTTGTAGAAAGAAGCCTAGTAAGAAATGAGAAAAATTTACCACAAAGGGTTTTTTAAGACCCCAGGGTCAGGGGGAAAGGTTGTCTGATGAAGCCAGGAATCCCAGCAGCAAGCTAAGGATCATGCAACAGATAGCTATGTTATAATTGCATTGATTTTATTTTTTTATATCACATAATTCATTTCTTGATTCTACATGTGTGCCATTAATATATTGTCATCATTGTTTTTCAAATACTATACAATAAACATATTACGAATTCAAGTCTAAGACAGGAGGTGATGGCACATGTCTTTAATCTCAGCCCTTAGGAGGCAGAAGCAGACAGATCTCTGTGAGTTCAAGGCCAGCCTGCTCTATAGAGCAAGTTCCAGGACAGCCAGGACTACAAAGAGAAACCCAGTCTCAAGAAACCAAAAAAGAATAAAAAGGAATCCAAGTCTAGGGAGATAGTTCAGTTGTTAAAGTGCTTGCTATGTACGCCTCGGGGACAGGGTTTGAGCCCCAGAACCCACGTTGGTTTTTTTTTTTTTTTTTTTTTTTTTTTTTATGATCATTGGTATTCTGCCTACATGTATGTCAGAAGCCCTGGATCTGGATGTACAGACAGGTGTGAGCTGTCATGTGGGTACTGGAAATTGAACTTGGGTCCTCTGGAAGAGCAGCCAGGGCTCTTAACTGATAAACCATCGCACCAGCCCCCAGAATCTAAGTTTTAAATAAAAAGTCAGTCATGAGCTAGGCATGGTGGCACCTGCATTTAATCTCAGCCCTTGGGAGGCTGAGGCAGCAAGAGCTCTGTAAATTCAAGGCCACCCTGTCTACATATTATTGAACTGTAGGCCAGCCAAGGTGAAACCCTGCCTCAAACAAACAAGCCTGGTTGTTGTTGGTGGCACAAGCCTTTAATCCCAGCACTTTGGAGGCAGACGTAGGCAGATCTCCATGAGTTTGAGGCCAGCCAGCCTGGTAAGTTCCAGCACAACTAGGGCTGTCACACAAAGAAACCCTGAGTCTCAAAAAACCAAAACAAACAAAAGTCAGGTAATGGGGACTTGTAACTCCAGCACAGGTCAAGATCTGGTCTAGGCCTCCTGAGGAAAAACACCTGAGGGTGACCCCTCTAGCTGGCTCCACGTGCACACACACCAGAGGGGGAGAAAAAGTTGAATCCAACTCCCTCTATACTTAGCCTTTCATACTTTTCCAGTCATTCCACACCTCTCCTCTTTCTCAGATGCCCATAAAAATAGTTTAGCATGTGCCGGAGTCCTCTGAAAGAGCAAAAAGTGCTCTTAGGCGCTGAGCCATCTCTCCAGGCCCAGTTTCAGATGTTTTACGTGCACATATATACATATGCATATGCGAAGGCAAATTAAACATACACGGGATTATATAACATGTGCTGGTGAAATATTTTTATATCTTTTCTCTGTGTTTATTTCCCCTCTGTTCTCTTTAATTACACAGAAAGTCTTTTTAAATTTTAGCCTGTCTTCTGTAGGACAAGCTGAGCAAAAGAAGAGGTTTTCCTGCTTTAATATCAGTATGTTAAACGGGAGAAGGACTAGTTAGGGCCCATTGTGGGAGTAGCAGTGACAATTGTCAGGAAAACACAAGAGGAAACTAAATCCTCAGACTTGGCCAATAGACTAGTTCCCTCTACTAACCAGGATATTTGCTTTTGGGTGATCAGAGTTATTTTTAATTAAACAAAGCTATGTTATTTTATAACCTTCAAAGTCAGTCCAAGAACAAGGTATAGGCTATTCTGACCTTGCCTGGGCACTCACACACGGTCACTTCTAACACATTCAGTTAGTGGCCTACCTCAGTGTGGGAGACCACTACTCAAATATCTTAATACCAAAAGCTGAGAGTGGTCAGGGACCATGCACACAACAGTGAGTGTGACTTAAGCAGTGTTTAAACTCATGTCTCTTTCATCTCAGGCTGGGATAGTCCTGGATGTCAGTGACCACACACACTTTATAAAATCAATCAGAAAAAACTCTTATTTGGCCCCCCCTTAAATAAATGGTTCTGAGTGACCAGCCAGTTGAATTCTGGTGTTGACCTACCCTGCCTACTGTGGACAGGTATCGATACCCTTCCCACTCTCCTTTCTGAGCTTCTGCAGAGAAGATAGGATTCCTTTTGCTCATTGCAAAGGAATTCAGTCTCTGAGTTCATTTTTTGATTTAGGTATTATCTGGCCTTTTTTTTCTTTTTTTTTTTTATGTGTAAGAGTGTATTGACTATAGGGTGAGGGGAAGTGGGAGGAAGTGGCACCTCCCTTTAATCCTAGCACTCAGGGAAGCAGAGTCAGGAGGATCTCTGTAAATTCAAGGCCAGACTGGTCTACAGAATGAGTTCCAGGACAGCAAAAGCTTCTCAAAGAAACCTGTCTTGAAAAAAAAAAAAAAAAAAGTGTTTTGCCTGCTTGTATGCCTGTGTACCACTTGCACACCTATTGTCCAAGGAGACCATTAGAATGAATGCATCAGATCCCCTGAGTCTGAGATTACAGACAGTTGTGAGTTACCCTGGGGGTTCTGGGAATTGAACCCATGTCCTCTGGAAGAGCAGCCAGTACTCTTAACTGCTAGAGTCATCTCTCCAGCCCCTTTTCTTTTATAAAGCAGAATCTTTTAAAACCTATGTAGTGATCAAATTACAAACACAGCTAGGCAGTGGTGGCACAAGCTCTGCTCTCAGGAGGCAGAAGCAGGTGAATCTTTGAGTTTGAGTTTACAGAACTGAGTTCCAGGACAAACAGGGCATACAAAGAAACCCTGTCTCAAACAAAACAAAACAAAAACAAAAAAAAGATCTGTCTCAGATATTCACAAAACCAAATTGCTTTTGAGAGGACATGTTAAATTTCTAGACTACAAGGAGAAACAATATTTTTTACATTTATTTATTGTGTGTTCCTGTTGTGTGCAAACAGATGCCAGGACACACTTGAGGAGGTCAGAGGACAACTTAAGAGACTCAGTTCTCTCCTTCCACCATCTGGGATTGAACTCAAATCATCAGACTTGACAGCAAATGCCATTACTTGCTGAACCATCTCACTGACCTTAATGAAGCATTTTTTTTTTAGTTTGTTCATACCCTTCTCCCACCTGGAATTTCCTATGCATACCTGGCTGCCCTCCTTCAATTCATAGAGACCTCCTGCCTCTGCCTCTCTAAGTGCTAGGATTAAAGGCATGTGCCACCATAGCTAGCTCCCAATGAAGTAATCTTTCAGGATGAAATGTGTAGCATCAAATGCCATCAGATAAAATACGTAGGAAGTATAAAGTATTCGACATACAAAAGAAGTTAGGTCCTCAGGATTATGTCCACATAATGTCTTCTACTAAAACAGGCTGTCATTTCATATTTGTTCTTGGTGTTCTTCATATATAAATACACACACACACACACACACACACACACACACACATATATATACACACATATATATAGTACAACCTATAGTATATAACATACAATATATATCATATCATATATCATTTGTTTATAATATAATGTATACCTATATTATATAATATGTACATTATATGATGTATATGTATCGTATAATTATATACATTACATGATAATATATATACACACACAGGGTTTTTCTGTGTCACCAACCACCCTGGCAGTCCTGAAACTTGCTCAGTAGGGCAGTCTGGTCTCAAACTCCTCCAGAATGCTGGGTTTAAAGATGTGCGCCACCATGGCCCGGCTCCCTTTTGGTTTTTGAGACATAATTTTACTCTACATCCTAGGCTGTCTTAAACTCACAATGAAGCCCAGGGTTGCTGACCTCATATTCTTGGCAATCCTCCTATCTCGGCCTCCCTCTGGAGTCCTGGGATTAAAGGCTTATTTTATCTGTTCATGTCAACCACCAAGGACAACAGATACGGTCCTCTGCTCCAGCCTTCACACTAGCATCACATTCCATTCTTCCAAATTCATGTATGGTGCTACCCAACTCACTTCTGCCTTGCCTGCCTGCTCTGCCTGATAATCCAAGCTCTGTTGCAAAGGCCAGGCTCCCTAGCTCCAGACATCGGTATTTGCCAACAGAGTCCTCTGCCTCCGCCTCTGGCTTCTGTATCCTGCTCTTCCTTCGCCCCTTCCTGTCTGAGCACATTCTTTTCTGTAACTGCTAGTTAACTGTTACTAGGGAGAGACGGGGAGTAGGAGGAGTGGCAGAGAGAGTCAAGATAAGCCAGCCAACATGGTGGTTAACTGTGCTCCCTGGAGGTCCAGGATTAAACATGAATTCCCAACAAGAAACAGTTGGAAGAAATGAGAAGAAGGCTTGAGAGTTGTAAAATATAATGAAGGCCAGTGAGGTAGCTCCATGGATAAAGGCACTTGCCACTGAGCCTGAAGACCTGAGACCCACATGTTGGAAGAAGAGAACCAAATTATTCTCCTTCATATATGCACTGTGTCATAAACTCCCCTACCCATACACAAAATAAATAGATGAGGGGCAGTGGGGACCCACAACTTTAATCCCAGCACTGAGGAGGCAGAGGTAGGCAGATCTCTGTGAGTCTGAGACCAGCCTGGTCTACAGAAGAAGTTCCAGGACAGCCAAGGCTACACAGATAAACCCCATCTCAAAAAGAAAAAAAAATGAATAGACAGATAGATAGAAGCATGTATGTGTGTGCCTGGTGCCCACAGAAGTCAGAAGAGAGTGTCAGGTTCTCTGGGAATGGAGCTCAGGTGGTTGTGAGCCATCATATAACTGCTGGGAATCGAACTCAGGTCTTTTATCAAAGCAACAAAAGGTGTTAGCTGCAGAGCCATCTCTCAAGCCCCACTGTGTAATGATTCTTTTTTTTTTTTAAAGATTTTATTTATTTATTATGTATACAACATTCTGCTTTCATATATATGTACACACCAGAAGAAAGCACCAGATCTCATAATGGATGTTTGTGAGCCACCATGTGGTTGCTGGGAATTGAACTCAGGACCTCTGGAAGAGCAGTCGGTACTCTTAACCTCTGAGCCATCTCTCCAGCCCATGATTCTGCAGCAGTATTTCCTAGACAGACTAGAAGGATAGCTAATTAAAATTTGGGTTTTGTTATTGTTGGTCTAGAAAAGCTTGTATCGGCCTCACAATTTGTAATCTATAATATCTTATGAACTCTTAGGTTTATCGTTGATTTAAGAAAACATCTGTCACATTTCTTTTATCTAGAAGTATTTGGGGAGCTGGTGAAATGTCTCTCGAAGATCACTGGCTGCTCTTCAAGAGGATCGGGGTCCTATTCCCAGAAGCCACATGGAAGTTCACACCAGTATCTATAACTCCAGCCTGAAGGATTCTGATGCCCTAATCTGAACTGTAGGGTGCCTTTACGGTACCTGTATGCATACAACATACCCCCACAGAGACACAAATACACACACATACACATACACACACACACACACACACACACACACACAATTTTTTGCTGTTGTTGTTTTTGTTTTTCAAGACAGGGTTTCTCTGTGTAGTCCTGGCTGTCCTGGAACTTGCTCTGTAGACCAAGTTGGCCTGGAACTCAGAGATCCACCTGCCTCTGCCTCCAAAGTGCTGGGATTAAAGGCATGTGCCACCCAAAGTCCAACTTGGTGAGCCAATGAGTTGTATTAGGAATATGGGTGAGGGATTACTTACAAAAGCAAAAATGACTCAAAGACAGATGCATCAATAAAGCTTACCCCAGCATGGGTGACAGCTCACAGCCTGTAGGCAGCTCCACAGGTTGGAGGGTGTCCTTTCCAGGTGCCTCATTTGGTGTAACATATTCCAAGTCATTCATCTCCTTCCTGCTTCTTCTAAGCAGCTGCTCTGGTGTCCGGGTCTTCTCTACAGTTTAGCTTTGCTCTTCTGAGAGGGACTCTCAGAGCTTATTGCTTACTTGGGCCAGGAGGGGCCTAGTGAATCTGATAAGTTTCAGGGACTTCCTGAAGCTCTTTTGAGTTATCTTCCTGCTTAAGGAGCTTCCCTGCAGGATGAAATGTTGCAATCTAGATAACACTGTTACACAACTCTGGTGCAAATTACTGCAATAGTCTAAAACCTCAAACATCGAGGAAGCAGATTTTCTCACTTCAAATTCCCTCCCACGATTAAAAACAAAAATAATTCTGTGTGTGATGTTAACTCTTCCTGGGAATGAGTCAACAAATATCTGTTTATACCAGTTAGGGAACCAAGGACAGCTCAAGGTAATGATTCCACCAAAGTCCAACTTGGTAACCAATTACTTTGTTGGCCTTGCTTAACAAACATGAGTAAGGGTTTACTTAGAGCCTCATGGGTGACCCCAGAACAATGTCACCAACAAAGTCTCACACCATCATAATATCGACCTCTGGGAACTTGCATCATTAAGGACCAAAGTTAACCTTCCTCTTCCTTTAGAAATGCTAATGTTTCCCTGGATCCCTTGCAGCTGGCAGGAGGTAGGAAAAGTGTAGTCAGGAGGTGGTAGGGCTGTAACGTTTGGAATTCCAGATTCCAACCCTGTTAACATTCACTTCCCTTCCTAACTAAAGAATGTCAATAGCTCCATAGCATTGTCAGAGGCCTACCTATCTCCACTTATTTCATTGCTTGAATTATGAGGAAATCTTATACCCCAGTATGGCAATGGGATGCCCATGTTATACCCACAAGGAAAAGCTATATTGCAGTATACTGTCTTGCACAGACTTCAGGAATGTGCAACTAGAGAGATGGAAGTCGGACACAGGCTATGGTTAAAAAAATCTCACTTCACAGTTTATGGAAATGCTTTGACCACTCGCATAGACAGATTTCAAGGGCCCACCCACATTCCTTCCCTAAAGTCATCAGTTTGAGAGGCCCTGATGTTCAGGTTCAAACTGATCTGAGGCTCATCTGTCTCCCAAGGGTTCTCCAGATCACTTTCCGGTAATATACTGTCATTTCCTACTTAGTTTAGATATTCACAACCCAAAGTGTCTCATTCAAACCAGTATTAGATAGTGTTTGCAGATTGTTGAATTAGAACCTGCAGCATGGGAACAGAGACTGGAAAGCCTACTACACCTGGTGCATCTTACAACCCTGGGGAAGGGGGTTGCTGTGCAATGATTTGTAACGCATGGGTCTCATGCCCAACTACTATTTAAGCTTTTCTTTTTTTATTAAAGATTTATTTATTGCCGGGCGTTGGTGGCACACACCTTTAATCCCAGCACTCGGGAGACAGAGGCAGGCAGATCTCTGGGAGTTTGCAGCCAGCCTGGTCTCCAGAGCAAGTGCAGGATAGGCTCCAAAGCTACACAGAGAAACCTTGTCTCGAAAAACCAAAAAAGAATTATTTATTTTATGTGAATTGTTTGTCTGCATGTATATCTATCTGTGTGAGGGCGTCAGATCCCCTGAAACCGAGTGAGAGATAGTTGTTCTAGGTGCTAGGAATTGAACCCAGGTCCTCTGAAAGAGCAGCCAGTGCTCTTAACCACTTAATCTCTGTAGCATCTAAGGTTTTCTTTTAGCTCACTAGCCAACTCCCATTCTCAGTGTTCTGTTTCTCAATAAACTGTGAGGGTTTTTTCCTTTTTTTTTTTTTTTTTTTTGAGACAGGGTATCTCTGTACCTTTGGAGCCCATCCTGGAACTCACTCTGTCGACCAGGCTGACCTCAAACTCATAGAGACATGCCTGCCTCTGCCTCCTGAGTCATGGGATTTTGTTTCTAACCAAGTGTCCCTAGTCTAACTCTTGCTGTGGTACCTATACACAGATGGACCACTGTACATGATATTATTTTCAGCATGAATGCAAAACCACAACTCTTACCCCAAAGGGGATAAAAGGTGGTATAATTTGGAGCCAAATATGAATGACCACAGCCCTGGAATTTAAGTTACTCCAAATTCTATATTTCAACATGGAAGCTGTTTAGGGGAGTTTTTATGGTAACAAAACAAAGTTAGACATCAAGACACTTAAAAACAAACAGAAACAAAATGAAAAAAAACTTTTAATTTGTTTTCTAAATTAAAGTCACTCATTTTATTTTATGGTGTTTTCCTGTGTGTATGTATGTGCACCACATTCATCCTTGGTGCCCACAGAGATCAGAAGATGTCTTTAACTGGAGGTAGAAGTGGTTGTGAACCACTATCAGTGCTGGGTATCAAATCTAGCTCCTTTCTCTCCAAGAGCAACAAGCACTTTTAACTGACATACCACCTCTCCAGCCTGACTTTGTATTTCCTATTTATGTGGATATGTGCCTGTGTGAGGTTATGAGTACCACTGGGGTGCAGGAGCCCACAGAGGTCAGAATAGAGCACTGAATCCCCTGGAACCACAGTAGAGACCTTTGTTTACTGCCATATGGGTGCTAGAACCAAAACCTGGTCCTCTGCAAGAGCAGTAAGTTCTCTAAACTGCTGAGCCATCTCTCTGGCCCAAAACACCTTTTAAATACCTTGGTGGAAATTAAGTAGGCACACAGCAGAGAAATCTCAGCTCTAACCCTCAGATGTTACCTGACAACATTCTTAGGTTTTATTTTGATAAAAGCTAGTGTCTGCTAAAAAAACATATTGCAAAAGGTTTTTTTATTTATTAATCACAGGATGTTAGGACCAACACTTAGGTGGGTAAGGAAGGGCTATTTAGGGAGCCTAAATATAGCACAAGATAAATAGTAGTTAGTTTCTGGACTTGCAATATTCCAACCTCTCATTATTACTGCAGTTCTCATTGAACAAAACAACCCCCCACCCTCCACCCCCCACCCCCGCCATTTTGGCAGCCATGACAGGCTAACGTGCTTGCCTGACCTTGCTGGGCCTGCCCTGGTCACTAGGAGGTCAGATGCCCTCCTCATGGCAATGAACCAATCAGAAGTTAGCTGGCCGGGCTATGCTTTATGACTCTGGGTGTGCTTTATGTACAAGTGCACTACAGTGCCGTGCAGAGCATAACAACCACCCTAGGAGGGCCTATGGGGCATAAAAGCAGTTGACCAATCAACACAGGGCAGGTTGTCCTGGAAGCACACCAATCCTGAGACTGTTGCATACCCCTAGACACTGCCCTATAAGATCCCTGTCTCGTGGTTTCTTGGAGTCATTCTCCAACCATCTGCCACAGTGGATGGATGAAAGGTCCAAGCTAATGAGGTTAGCTCGTTAAACAACTGCAATAAAAGACTCTTTGCTTTTGCATTGAAATGGGCCTCTTGGTGATTTTGGGGTTCAGAATTTGGGCACAACATCAGACACAGCTGCTTTCCAAGAAACATCAGAGCAGGATGCCTTGGTTTGAGCTGATCCTGCCATTGAAGATGTCTACACACAGTTTAAGTCAGCCCTAGCCTACCAGGCAGACCTCCCAAGACTTTTCTTCCTCCCTTCCTTGCTCTTTTTTGAGGGTCTCACTATGTATCACTGGATAGCCTTGAACTTGGAGTCTTTCTGCCTTTGCCTCCCGAGAACTGAGATTAAAAGAGGATGCTTCTGTGCTGGAGAGACAGCTCAATGGTTAAGAGCACTGGCTGTTCTTGAAGAGGATCAGGTTCAGATCCCAGTATCACATGGCTGCTTACAATTGTACAATTGTACAATTGTCAGCTCTGGAGACTCCAACACCCACTCTGGTCTCTTTGGGTATACTGCATTCATGTGATGCAGGCTCACACGCATGAAATTTTTTGTTGTTTTTGGTTTTGATGGTTTTTTTCCGAGACAGGGTTTCTCTGTGTAACAGCTCTCACTATCTCGGAAGTAACTCTGTAGACCAGGCTGGCCTCGAACTCACAAAGATCTACCTGCCTCTGTCTCCCAAGTGCTAGGATTAAAAGGGATGCGCCACCAATGCCCTCCGGCTGAAAAATGGATGCTGCCACTTGTCTCACTTTTTCATTCTCATTCTCTCTCTCTCTCTCTCTCTCTCTCTCTCTCTCTCTCCCTTCCCCCTCCCCTCCTTCCTTTTCCTTTTCTTTTTGTCTTGTTTTCCGAGAACAGTTCCAGCTGTCCTAGAACTCACTCTGTTGGCCAGGCCTTGAACTCACAGAGATCCACCTGCATCTGTCTCCTAAGTGCTGGAATTAAAAGCGTGCAGCACCACTGCCCGGCCCTTCCTTTCTTTTCTTTTTTTAAATTAATTTATTTTTGCCATTTGAATCCCAGTTCCCCCTCCCTCCTCTCCTCTGTCTACCCCCACTTCCCCCTCACCCCACCTCCCATCTGCTACCTTAGGAAGTCTACTAAGTCTGTCCCAACATGTCAGTGAGGCAGGTCCAAGGCACCTTGCCAACCCCCACACCCCTCTATGTCCTTTCTTTCTTTTTTTTTTTTTTTTTTTGTTTTTTTTTTTTTTTTTTTT